GCGGTTGAGCCGAGGGTCCGCGGTGCCATGTCAGCCCAGGGAGTGGCAGTGCTGCTGTCGTGGATGAGCTGCTGCGGCTCCGCTCTGTGGAGGTAGACACCAGTCGCGGACAGGGCCACCGGGCAGGGGTCTCCCCTTGGGCCAAGCAGGTGGGGCCCGGTACCGGCGCCTCAGTGTCCGGAAACCACTCGCCGGTACAGACTACGGTCTTCTTCCTGAGCTCCCGGAACACCTGCCACCCACAGCCGCAGTCCGAGAGTTTTCAATGAATGAGGGAAGACAATGAGGGGACGCTGTTAGAACTCTGCTGGTAACTTCACGTCGCTGTCCTCTTGGACAGCTGAGCCCACAGGATTCCTTAAACTCGTGTCCTCCTACTGCACTGCTTTTGCGAGAGAGGAGAAGCGCAAATGAGAACCAAAAAGTTGCCACCAGAGATTGGAGGTTGATGGGGAGGGGGTCTGGGACATTTCACTAGGATAGCTAGGTACTGGGTGGTTTATATTAGGTAGTTGTGGTTGAATGATTTGTGGGAAAGTGCATTATAAAATGCCAACACTGTACAAATGTGAGCCGATGTGATTCCCGAATAAAGTGAGTTGATTTGGGGAATGAAAACTTTTTAAAGTTCTGCGAGATCCTCAATGCAAGTTTGATTTTTGTTCCGTATTCAGTAACTGCTGGATTGGAAAGTGTATCAAAATATTTTAGAAAGATTTTCAACCTAAGTTAGAAAGATTTTTCAACCTAGGTAAAAATACGGATGATTAACCAGCAAAATCACATTCCGCGAATATTCAGCTTAGTGGAGGTTTTTCTAGAACAATAATTATTACCCTCTAACATTAAAACGTAAGAATACCGACAATATATCACACCATTATAGAGGCTTCGGAAGGGATCCAGGGCACGTCACTGGACAGGTGGAGAGGTCAAATAGTTAAGAGTCGCCATTGGAAAGGTCAGTGAAATAGTGAGAAAGAGCAAAAACGTAGCATTCTGTGAGAACTTGGTAAGCCTTCATTTTCCTTCCTATGAAGTGAAGATAAGAAAATTTATCTCACGGGGTGATCGTGAGGCTTGAATGCAATTATATATTTAAAGCTCTCAGCACGTACTTGGCAAACAATGAATCAATAAATCATGATAGCTGATAATAAGGATGGCCTATGAACTCAGGGAGCTTGCAAGTTTTGTTATGTTGTCACCAAACTTTTCTGTAAAGGACCAGATAGATAGTAAATATCTTAGGAGGTGAATTTCGCATGTAAAGTTTTCTAATAAGATCATCTCTGCATATATAGGATAAATCTAACTCGGTCATGGTTTATTACCTCTTTATACCCTGCTGAATTCAATTAGCAAATATTTTCTTTAGGATTTTTATGTCTATATTTTTCTTTTTCAAAATGTCTTGGTTTGGTTTTGATATCAGTGTTACAGTAGATTTACAAAATGAGTTAAAGAGTATTATCTCTTTATCAGTTCTTTGGAAGAATTTGTATAGGATTAGGATAATTTGTTCTTTGAAACCTGTGAGGAAGGTAAAACTATTGCTTCAAATCTTTTAATGGCTATAGAGTTATTTAGGCCTTTTATTTCTTCTGGAGTTAGTTTCGATAGTATATATTAAAATGTCTATTTCATGTAATTTTTCAAAATTGTCACATAATTGTAAATATTTCCTTTTTTACTCTTTGCTTTTTCTGTAATCATGGTCCCTTGTCATTAATATTGTCTCATCTCTTTTTTGTCTTGCTCAGTCTTGCCATAAGCTTTTCTGTTTTACTCATCTTTGTAATTTTTGTTTTATATTGATTTCTGCTATCATTTTTATCTCTTTCTTCTATTTCCTTTGGGCTCATTCTGATACTTTTTCTAACATTTTAAGCCAGACAGTTAGCTAATAGTTTTTGGCCTTTATCTTTTCTGATGACATTTAAAGGTATTAATATCCCATAGTATCCCATAAAAAAAAAGATGCATAATCTTTTATCATTCACTTCTAGATAGTTTTAACTTTCACCATGATTTCTCCTATAACTCTTGAAATATTGAGCAGTTTGACTAAGTCCAAGTACGTAAAGATTTATCTTTTTGTCAACGATGTCTCTATTAATTGTACTATAATCAGAGAGCAGGATCCACATGATACCTGTTCTTTGAAATTTGTTGAGACTTGCGTTATGACCTAATAGATGATCAGTTTTTATAAATGTTCCATTTGTTTTCTTATGCTCCACTAGTTCTATTGGGTCATACTTTTCATGGAGTGATCTTCTTGGTCCTTAAAAATACTTTTTGTCTCAAAGTCTTTTTTGTCTTATGGTAATGTATTCAATGGGGCTTGGACTTTCTGTGGAAAGCATACTATGCTTCCTGCAATATAACGGTTTCACACGTTTTTCTGTCAGATTCCCAAAGACCAATTCGTGGGTATGTACAGTAGGATGAATAGGGGATTTGAGAGAAAATGGTTTACCCAAAGAATATATTCCTTAGTTTAGAAAGAAAGACAAAAAAGTAAAATTAGGAAAGGACTTACCTCTTGGGAGATGAAGGAAGGAGTAAAAGTTTAAGAATTTTTTTCAATTTTGAAGAGCTGGTAGAATGGGAACACACTAGAGAGAACAGGAAGGATAGGCTCTCATGGTCCAAGAGTGAGATGACAGTGTCCTTTTTGTTTAAAACAAACAAACAAAATGGTGCCAGGACATGGTCCATCTGCACACCCCACACCTATGATCCTCCCAGGCCTATTTTCAACAACGCCACATTAAATATTTGACATAATTAAGAAAGCAAGGATGAGAAGGTGTTATTATAGCTGTCTCTGATGAAATTAATAAATTAAATATGACTCCTTTAACTACTGTTGCCTCTATAACTTGTCCCCAGCTCTAGTGGGAAGCTGATGAAGGAGCAGCTGGGCTTGTCAGGAGAAGTAGTTTTGTCATTTAGCTACCAGGTTTCATTCGCAGATCAAATTGCATACTTTAACATTGTAAATTAAAATACAAAATCTGCCACTTTTATTTTTCTTTCTCCTGAAGTTTCTCTCTTTCTTACTATGATGAAAGGGATCTTATATTAGATTCATAGGAAGTGGGAAATGCTTCACACTTATTTGAAAAAAGTGCCCTTGAGAAAATATCTCATTTTATGGCATCACCGCCTCAGCTCCACCTCAGATCACCAGGCATTAGATTCTCATAGGAGCACCGATCCCTGGGACCAAAAATGTTGGGGACCGCTGCTTTATAGGGATGTATAAAAATACATGAACATGTATTTCTCATATTTGATCTGTATATTTATAAAATGTGTTTCATTATACTGGTGACTGATACCTGTTAATAAGAATTTAGAATACCATTAAGGCTTGTATAATTCTGCTAAAAGACTTATGTAGTGATATCCCAGCAATCACACACACACACACACACACACACACAGAATTGCCTCTGACTTAAGATTTCAGGGACGGAGCAATTCCAGTGGCAACTGGTGTGTAACGTAGACGTGGAATAGATTATTGAAGCAAAGGGAAAGTGAAGGAATTTTAAGATGATGTTTTACAATAGCCACTGGCCACATATGGCTTTTGAACACTTGAAATGTGGCTAGTCCAAATTGAGATCTTTTTTTAGTATAGTATACACACTGGATTTCAAAGACAGTACAAAAAAAATGCAAACTATCTCATTAATAATTGTTTTATATTGATTACATGTTGAATAAATTATATTAGTAAAATCATTTTCACTTGTTTCTTCTAGCTTTTTAAATGTGTCTACTAGAAAAAATTTAATTACATCAGTGGCTCACATTATATTTCTTTTAGACAGCACAGCTTTAGATAGATCATATAGACAGAAATTAAAGTACCCCGAGTACTGGAGAGTAATGATAGTGAACAAGGACTCACAGAAATTTGTTCTTCAGTGTTTCAAACAAGAAATACTGTTTTATGGATTTTCAATCTTTATTCATTTTCTTTTAACTCAGTTGATAAGTGAAGGGATTAGAGTCAATATTCTTCAACAGTTTTCATCCTAAAACAAAAGCAAAGATGTAAAAGTATTTACAGAGAGTTCCTGACTTAACAATGGCTCAACTTCACGACTTTTTGACTTATGACTTTTCTGCTTTATGATGGTGTCAGAGCAATGTGCGGATAACATGAGATAGTCAACACTTTACTATAAAATAGGCTTTGAGGTGAATGATTTTGCCCAGCTGGAGGCTAACGTCAGTACTCTGACCACATTTGGGATAGTCAAGCCAAGCTGGGTGTTCCGTAGAATAGGTATGTTAAATGCATTTGTGACTTAGGATATTTTCAATTTACGATGGGTCTGTCGAGACATAACCCGATTGTAAATCGGGCAGCATCTGTAAGTCTCATTCCAGTGTCTTCAGATACAGGACAAACACTAATCCCCTGGAGTGCGGGGTAGAGTTCACTGACATCCTCAGCTATACCCCTGAATACTCTTTCCAGTAGCGTTTGGGCGGAAACCTACAGCGTGCTCTGTCCATGTATAGAATCCCTCTGATTTGGAGGAAAAATTAGTTTTAATATTTGTCTTTGATCTTTTCCTCCACAGGTATTACACTAACAGCCCAAACTACCACATTTTTAGTACCAGAAGTACGGTAAGTGTTTAATTTTTTAAAATTATAGTTAAGTATTAATCTTTTACCTCAGAGCAGAGGTGAGAGGTAACTATACTCTGTTGTATAGCACAGTGTCATTCTTTGATTTTTACTTCATTTCCTTCATTTCGTTTATCTTCCTAATATATATCCCCTCTCCAATAAATGTCCTTAAATATGCATGTAACAAAAATAGGTAGTGTCTTGAGTGTTTTTGTGATTTAATATTCACAAAATTGTGTCATGATAGGGATAGGATGACCGTGTCTCACTCATCTTATTTTTTTTCTTATCCTCAGAACTTATTAGAGTACCAATAACCTCCTGGACACTTAATAAATAGATTATTTTTGAAATAAAATAAAAATCTTATAGTTTTTTGGGGAGACTACCAAAGGGTCCCAGAAAAGTTACTTTTCCTTTGTCATATTACTTCGTGTAATTTCAAAGAAATCATTCTTTCTTTAAATAATAAGGACCCAGAAAATTGAACCCTATATTTGAACACTGAGGTGAAAATTTTACAGCAGATTTTTTTGTTTGAACTATTTTATCTTCTTTTTTAGATTAAGTTAGAGTATGAAGGAACAGCATTTTCTGAGTGGAGTGTGCCAGCAACTTGTTCTGTGAAAAATAAAAAGTAAGATTTTTGGCATGAATGTCAATATCTGTGTGTATTTACATGTAACAAAGCATTCGTCTAGTGGACATTCCGATTCAAGGCTGTGATTTAATGTAACTTTCTTCCCATTAAATAGATGTGAAAAGAAAAAATCACTTTGAAAATGGATAGAAGTAAAATGTTGCTCTCTCTCTCTCTCTCTCTCTCTCTCTCTATATTTATATATATATATTTTTTTTTTTTTCTTAATAGCATACAATCGAAGTTTTTAGACTTAAAAAGTAGTAGGGAAATGTTTAGTCGTCTAGCATACGTCTTTACTTATTTCTCCCTTCTCGTTCTTTTTAAACACTAGATCACCCAAGACAGAACTGCGATGCTCATCTCCTGGGGTTCACACTATAAAGCCAATTGTTACAGGCCCAGTAAGTTGATTTTAATACCTTATTAAAAGTTGAATAATCATCTGCTACATTTTATTTTGCCTTTTTTTGAGCTTTCGACCTAATCGAACCTGTTTTAAATAGTGACAAAGTATGGGCCACAAACCTCACACCTAATGTTCCCACACAAATGTCTAGAGGCTCCATGTGATTAATCCTGCCTTTACTTTGGGGCTTATGCCTTCTTTTTAATTCATAATCTTTATTTTCAGGGAAGAAGTAGATAGGGTCATGTGGGAGAGGCCAGATGAATATAGGTTGAAAAATATTTGATTTTGGCTTTTTTGAGTTTATGAGTATTTGCCAGTTTCATAAACACAATTCCTAAGGAAGTAAAGGACCTTTTCTCTTTCGTCATATGTTGGAAGCCCATATAAGTATGTGATGTTGTGTAAAAAATATACACATAAATACCTGCATATGTAAGATTATTTTTGTTATTGATGTATAGTGTCATCAGATCTTACATCCTCTAAGGGAATACATGTGACTTTTGAAATACACTCAAAAACTCTCAGTTATAACAACCAAAAATGTCGCCAGACATTGCCAAATGTCCCCTGGCAAGCAAAAATCACCTCTGGTTGAGAACCATTAAACAAGAAAATTAATTGAATTGTATTACAGTAAAGAAGACTGTCTAGGAAAACTGTTTTCCTTTACACACTCATAGAGAACACTTCTGTGACCAGATTTTTTTTTTTTTTTTTTTTTTTTTTTTTTGGTCACTAATTCTCTGGCATCAATTGTTCTGATACGGTCTGTCTACGTGAGGTTAACATCACATCCCATAATTTAAGGGCTTACTCCTACAAGACTGTCCTCACTGCAGATGCCCATCGCACATCCGAAGCTGTGCAGTACTTCTGGTGGACTGGCTCTAAATCCAGGTTCCCACAACCTTCCCCTCAGGCTCAAAACTTTGCTAGAACAGCTCACAGAAGACTGAGAAACATTTGCATTTATCAGTTCTAATAAAGTATATGATAAAGGATACTGAAGAACAGCCAGGTGAAGTGGTACATAGGGCAAGATCTAGAAGGGTCCCCGTGGAGTGGGGGCGCATCACCTTGCCTGCAGGTGGATGTGTTCACCAGCCTGGAATCTCAGAAATCCCATACTTCAGGGATTTTTGTGAAGGCTTCATCATGCAGGCATGATCGATTACTAACTCATTTTTCAGCCCCTCGCCTCTCTCCGGCAGATGCAAAATTAAGCTGAAAGTTCCAAGCTTCTAAGCATGGCTTGGTGTTTCTAGTGACCACTTTCCATCCAGGAGCTTGTGTCAGGCACTCCTGTCCCTCAGGAAATAACAAGAGTTTTAGGAGCTCTGTGTCAGGAACCGGGGTCAAAGACAAAATATTACTAGGAGCTGGGGGCAAAGACATATATATTTTGTATTATTTCACAAAGACGAATGTACTGGAAACAGTAAGCCATCCAAATTTGTCGCTCATGATAGTAAATTCTCGATTACAGAGAATACCCAAAGAATTAAACTGGTATTATATGAAAATGTTTTAGTTCTCTTCTGAAAGTTATTCATTGTTCTTTCTCTAATCTTAAATAATTAACTTAACTCCTCTGTGATTTTTATGCCTGTATCCAAATTTGTATTTAAAGTTGATTTAATATATCTTAGTTTTTTCTGTGATTTATTTTAGGATCTAGAAGAAGAACGCTATTTATCTGTGGACAGTTCTCATACTTGCTTTCTGTGGTATTATAAAGTTAGGTAAGTAATGCAATATTGAATACAGAAGTAATTAATGCTTTTTAACAGGATTTAGCTTTCATTTTAATTAACCACAAATGGATTATCTGCGTTATAGATTCCATATAATCTTTCATTCGCCAATCAAGATATCCTCAAATATACTGCCAAACTAATATTTCAGAGCAAATAATAATAATAGCAACCACAATTTAAACATATACTGGCTTATAATATTGAAGACAGAAGTAATTAATGCTTTTTAACAGGATTTCGCTTTCATTTTAATTAACCATAAATGGATTATCTGCGTTATAGATTCCATATAATCTTTCATTCGCCAATCAAGATATCCTCAAATATACTGCCAAACTAATATTTCAGAGCAAATAATAATAATAGCAACCACAATTTAAACATATACTGGCTTCTACATGTTCATACGTTATGTAAATTATCTCTCAATTTTCATAATCGTCACACAAATGTAAGTATTATTATCCTTATTTTATCAATGAGGAAATGTAAGCTTGGATGGATTAAATAGTTTGGACAAAAACGCACAGCCACTAAAAGATAACATTGGGATTTGACTCTGGTTTTTCAGACCACAAGGCTCTTTTATTCCCATTATATATTTTATATTCCCAAAGGATTCTCTTTGTCCTGGATAGCTCTTCAAACCCATTGTAACATGAGATCAAATGAATATAACTAAGAAAGGAAAATTGGTAGGAGAAAAAAATAATTAACTGCGTTATAAAATCATTTGATAAGTAAAAAAGTCAATGGATTCGAATATTTTTAGTATCACGATTGAGGCAGTAGCCTAAGCACTGTATCGGCTACAAAGCCCTGTCTTTTGTGGCCCCGGCCCTCTAGATGACTGTAATGTACCTGTTTCTTTTTATCTACTAACATCCCTTCCTTTGGGAGAACTATCCGTCATTCTGTGACGAAATTGTTAATTCCGTGTGATTTATACAGTACTAACTCTACAACCCTACATTTCACGGGCCATAGTGATTAGCTGAGGACTGGCACATGAGCCAGGCAGAACCAATCAGGATACTCATGTCGTCAATAAAGCATGGTTGTTACTGATAGTTTCATTGTCCTGGTTCACATGGTCCCTTAAAGTCATGTGACCCTCAGTTTGTTTATCCATTCTTCTTTTGTTGCACATTTGAGTTTTCCTAGTTTGGGGCTTTTACGAAAACAACTGCTATATATATTTTAGAACGAGTCTTTTTGCAGACATAGATTTTCATTTCTCTTAGTTTGTAAATATTTGGGGTAGGATTTCTGGATCATGAGATAGGCAAATATTAAACTTTGTAGGAAGAAAAAATCATTTTCCAAAGCAATTGATTACTGGCAATGTATGAGCGTTCCAATTACTCCATATTTTTGCGAATGTTTAGTATTGTCATAGTGGGAATAAAATAGTATGTCGTGTGGTTTTAATTTTCATCTCCTTAATGATGAATGATATTGAGTCCTTTTTCATGAACTCATTGACCACTCCTGTATAGTGTTTTGTAAAGTATCTGTTTAAGTTTTTGTATACCTAGTTTTTAATTGGATTGTTTGTCTTTTTACTATTGATTTGTAGTATTTCTTTGAACAAGTCTTATGTCAGATATATGTATTGTGAATATTGTCATTCAGTGTATGGCTTAGCTTTTCATTTTCTTAATGGTGTTTTTTAATAAACAGAAGTTTAAATTTAAATGAAAATCTCTTTATATATTTTCCTTTTTATGGTTAATACTTTTTAAGTCTTACGTAAGAAATCTTTGCCTACTTGAAAGATGTGAAAATATTCTCCTGTGTTTCCTTATAGAAGCTTTGTCATTTTAGCTTATACATTTAGATCTATTAACTGTTGGGGTGACTTAGCTTCATGAACTTGGATGTCCAAATCCCTCCCCAGATTTGAGAAGTTCTCAGCCATTTTATTTTTAATTAGGTTTCTTCCCTTTTCTTCCTCTCTTCTTCTTCTGTGACTCCAATGATGAATAGATTGTTTCTCTTAATGGTTTCTCGTAAGTCCTTAGGCTTTTCTCATATCTTTTTATTCTTTTTTTTTTTTTGCTTTTCTGACTGGATCTTTTCAAATAGCTGTCTTTGAGTTCACAGATTGTTTCTTCTGCTTGGTCCAGTCTGATGTTGAAGCTCTCTTGTAAATTCTTAAGTAGAGTCATTTTATTCCTCAGCTCCAAAATTTGTTTGTTTCTTTTTTGTGTTTTCTTTCTGTTAATGCTCCCATTTTGTTCTTATATTGTTTTCCTGATTTTGTTAAATTATTTATCTTTGTTCTCTTGTAGCTCTCTGAGCATCTGAAGAACTGTTATTTTGAATTCTTTGTCAGGCTATTCATGTATCTCTTTTTGGGGGGGGGTCTGTTACTGGAAGTTTACTGTGTTCCTTCTGTGGTGTCATGTTACCCTGGTACTTCATGGTCCTTGTAGCCTTGGTGAGTACCTGCACATTTGAAGAAGCAGTCACCTCTTCCAGACTTCATAGACTCACTTCACTAAAGAAAGACCTTCATCTAAGTGGGGGCATGCTGGAGCATGCTGTGACCCCAGGTCTACTGGTGTAGGGTACCAACTACAGGGGTATGTGGTGGCTCTGTACCCAGCTTAGGCCACTGGAGTCCACAATATGGACAACTGCATGGTTTTTGGTGAGTGCTGTGCAGGGTCCACAGTGATGGCAAAGGCTGATAGGGTCTTCAGTGGTGCCTTCAGGTCCAGTGGCTAGGGACCACAGCAGGCAGCAGTGGTCCAAGCCAGTGGTGTGCACACACTAAGCAGTGGGGCCAGCTGTAGGTGCCTGTGTACTGGCAGGGGAGGGTTGCAGACAATCACATAGTGGTGAGGGCCTGGTCCAGTTGCAAGAGACAAGACAACTGCAGACACAGGAGGAAACCCCTGGTTGTTGGTTTACACTCTTGTGGCTGCAGGGTCCCATTATGGGTATGTGTATAGCAGTGGAAGCCGGTGATCTAAGTTGAGCCTGCGGAGTGCAGCTGCAAAGCTGGTGGGGGCTAATTGTAGGTAACCCCAGGAGTGCAAGCCAGTGACAGGAGATAAGGCTGGATCTGGGCCCCCAAGCTATAAGCCATGGGCCTCGACTGTCCAGTGCACTCCTGTGGCTACAGGATTTCACCATGGGTGTGGGCACAGCCTTGGAGGCCACAGACAGGACTTAGCCGATGGGGTACAAATGCATAGCTGGAATCTGCAGATGAGGTCAGCAATGCAGGCCAGTAACCAGAGGCTGGGTCAAATCCACCTTTGACAGTCTCTGGGCTGAAACCAAAGCAGGTCCTTTGTGCAGGATCCTGAAAGCCTGAGGAAGCTGGTCACTCACCTCGCTCTCCTCTTCCCAGCGAGAGGAACTCGTTTTCGTCAGGGAGTTCCTTCTTGGCACTGAGCGATGCCAGGCTGGTGGGCGGGGTGGTGCACGCAGATCGAAGCTGTTCGGCCTTCCCTTTTTGTGTGGTTAGTCTCAGGTTTGTTGGTTCCACTCTATTGCTGACATTTCTTAAGTGTCTTTGTTCAGGGATCACTGTCTAATTGTTGGTCTTTGTTGCAGGGACAGAGGCTGGGTGTCTCCTCCTCCACCGTCTTGGTGACATCAGCCTTTTCTTTCTCTATAATGATTCTTTCCCAGTCTTTTTCCTTTGCTTTTTTGTGATCTGTCCTTGCCTTTAATGTCGGCTCAATCCAGGTTTCTCTCCTTGACCCTCTTCTCTTTCTACACTTCAGTCTGTACACCAGCTCAGGAAAGCCAAGCTAACCGATGAAGACCCAGCAGATGCTGCTAATGTTATTTTAACGTGGAAATCAGGTTGTCGCTTTAACATCAACTGATACTATCTCTCTCTACAAGGTTACTTTTAATAACTTTTTCACTATTAATATATCGACTTCTTTCCTGTGCTTCTGACAAGTAGCCTAACATAAGGGGATACGTATCAGCCCGAGCCAGAGATCTGAACTTTGGACACATTCGCCTATCAAGATTTATAGTATTTGTTTTTGGCAGCTTTCTAATATGAGATTAAACATAGGAAATACTATGTTCATTACATGGTTTCAGAAACTCACTTCATACACATTTACTAATTCCCAAAATACTTTCATTTTGTTTTATATCTAATAATGTACAAGGCCCTGTGCAGTAATCAGCAAATGAAAGAACATAGTCCTAAAGCAGTGGCTTTTAGAGATTATACAATTTAAAAATACAGATATCTTTAAAATGAAAAAAATCACTTTCTACCAGACAGACAACTAAACATACAAATGAATGTTGTCCTTTCATAAAATTTACATTGAAAGGTTGGTCAATAAAGTATTTGCAGTATTAATTGACTAATTTGTTTTTGACATAAGTTACAACATGTAAACACTATTGATTTTTCATGTGGAATGATAATGTCAGCTTTTTAAAGGTTAATCATGCATCTTTGGCAATGTTAAATTTGTAGTAAGTTAAGGAAGCATGCAGATTCAAGCTTCTCATCCTTCTGTAATGACACAGGAAAATCAATAATTATATTTAATTATAGACATGTAGATTTTATTAATCAGATTTTTTTATCTGTAATAGAACATCAAGAGAATATTCCAAGATGTAAAGACATGCATATTGAAAGTAGAATATTCAAACTAATATTTAGCATGCTGTTCACTAAAATATGATTCTTCTTTTTCCCCACAGAAATTTCATTCACAATTTAACCCAGGTAAAACGTTTTTAAATTCTTGTATATCCTTCATATATCACTACTATATTATTTCTCTTTTATCATCTATATTTACCAGAAGAGGAATTTTCCAAACTAATTTTTCAACAAAATTTGCTTAGAGCAGTGATACTCAAGCTATGGTGTGAGGACCCACAGGGCTCCACAGACCTTTTCAGGAGGCCTGTGCGAGGTCTACACTTTCCCAGCCTCATATCTGTGTGAGGATAGATCCTCCCCATATGCTCCAGCAAAACAGCATATACCAGCACTTTGAATGCAGGAACACAGATGGTAATCCAGCTGTCTTCTGTTAAGCCAGGTATTAAAAAGATTCTGTCATGTAAAATGTGAAACAACTGTTCTTCTTCCTATTATTTTGGTTTGGAAAATCATTATTTTTTCATAAAAGTATATTAGTTACATTAATATATAATGAGTGTATCATAGTTTTTAAAATAAATTAATAAATATCTTTACATAGTCTCAATTTTAATTTGTTGTATAGTAAATATTGATAGATCTAACCCACATAAAACAAAGCTCGGTGGAATTTTCAGTAATTTTTAAGACTATGAAGGGATCTTGGATTAGAGGATAATTAGAAATGTAGTAGATATAATCAAAAATTTTTAAATTGAAATAAGGTGATAATATTTGGAAATTAAAGCTCTATAGATAATTTAATTTTCTAAAAGTGGTGATTTAT